TGGGTCACGGTTGATCAAGTTTTCGTTGTCAGCCACTATAAACACTTGCAGTGTGAGAAATGAGAGTCATTTATCTAGAAAAGTCACAGCTGTAACTCCCAGATGGCGCTGGCGCAGCTTATATATAACTCTTTATATGTAACTCCCAGATGGCGCTGGCGCAGCTTCAGTGCCAGCTGTGTTGTTTATCTGTCTGTGTCTGCGCTGGAAAAAGACAAATAAGTCGCATAACAAAAATATTCAAAACCGGACCAAAACAAATCTGATGTCGTCTAATTTTCCGGTCGTCTTCCAACATGTGACTTTGCAGCCTCTGAGAAGCGACCTTTACGCAGCTCTTTATTTTGGCCGTTTCCCTCCACTTCCTCTGTCCAAAGACTGGAGCCTGGGTTTCTCTCCCACACATACTGCAGCTCAGTCGGTGAGCGGAGACACTTTTTGATCCAGGCCACGGTGGCTGCCCTTGTTGACTGTTGAAGTAATTGCTTCCTCATATCCTGCTGACTAATGATGAGACATGCCAGTTCACTCTGGGTGATCTCCATCATCACGGGAGTCACATTGTCCTCTCTTTTGGCCGGCACTCACAGCCTGGTCTGTAAATACCACTGACAGTGAAAGGGACAAGTTTAGCAGCCTTTTCAAATGCCAAAAAATTTCACTGGATGTTGTGGGATGTAGCTTCTCCTTTAACAAAAAACTGTTTCTAAGTCCAGCACAAAAAAAAGAAAAAGAAAAATGAACAGGAATACATTCATTATTGTGACACAATAGTGAGATTTTTCACTCAACTTGATTTCCAAGGAATCTCTTTTTTTGTCTGTTGAAATGTGTTTCTCGCAGCTGTTGTGTTTCTCAGATCTGTTCCGTTCCCAACAGACATTTCTTTGTAGACCGATTGAAGGGAAAAAGCTGTGAAATTCCTTGAAGCTTCCCAAATCCTGGGAATTGTAATGAAGGGGTTGCTAGGTTGCAATCTATAGAGTCTTTTGTGGACTTGTGTATGGATTCAGTGCTTCTACAGGGAGCAACAATGACCCTCAACGCACCCTGCATTCCACTGCTTTTCAGGATTGTAGAAGGAAGTTGGGGGTCACACACATTTTTTTCCCCATGTTTTGCTTCACAGAAACAAAATTCTACTTTTTAATCCTTTTCTCAGTTTTGCACTTGATGCATTGGTGCTGGTGCAATATAATAGGCCGATTTAACAATTAGCTTAATGACTGTGAGTGATGAACTGAATGTAAGTCTTTAAACTGACATATTATAAAGCTGACTTCTTCTTCTGGTCACTAGACTCTGGAAGTGAATGAACTCTTTTTATTATTAGTATTGTTATTGAGAAGTTAGAAAAGCAGTGTCGGCAGGTTCACCTTCTTATTTTGTACACGAAGAAAAAGTGACAGCTGTACCTTGTCCAAGACATTCATAATGGATGACAGAGAGGAGGAAGCCTTGGTTAAATTTGTCACTCTGTCTGTAAAGACTGATGGAGCTGACGGCTGAAACCAAGAGTGAACATCTGACTGACGAGGGTTTGAGATAAAATTCTCTCCGTCGGTTTATTTCACTGGTGAAGTACTGCAGTACTTCTCCGTCAACAGTAAAAGTGGATTTTGGAGTATTTTGAAGAGACAGTTTTGATCTTCTTTACATGTTCCCTCCATCCATATACACTTCAGTTACTGCACACCTTTTAGTCCAACACATGAATTATTCCTCGGCTCTGTCATAATGAATTTGTAGAACATGGTTCAGGAAATGTCTGCAGCAGCAGTGGCATCGGCCCTGGAAGGGTTTTAATGTCTTTTGAAAAAAACGTTTGTAACCTGACAGGCTGAGGGTAAGAGTGGAAATGTATAATACAAATAATAAATAAATAAAATGAATATTTTACTGACTCTGAGCTCTCTATAGAAAATACTTTAGACATCTGTAAAAATGTTTTTAAAAATAACTTTGAGTATCAGTAGTGATTCCTCTCATTTGATGAATATAATTATTTTCCCATCGATTGTCATTTTCATGTCATTTAATTGGATTAACACTAGTATTCACTGTCCAGGTGGTATATGTGAAAAAAAAACTGTTTTTGAGAAAGCAAAAAAAAAATAATCTAGGATTCAGTCTGTTGCCACAGTCCAGGTGGTATATGTGAAAAAAACCTGTTTTTGAGAAAGAAAAAATAATCTAGGATTCAGTCTGTTGTGCAGTGTAGAATCACACTCTGAAAATACTTTATTGATTCTGGATTATGTTTTTTTTTCCAGCATGACAAACAAACTCCTGATGAAAGTGTCTTCAAAATGTTTCAACTAAGATAGAACTAGAATAAAATAAATAAATAGACTAAGAGTTGTTTAAACTAAAATCTGCCACTCAGTTGTGTTGCCTTTTTTTTTGGTGATGGGGATTTATGGATTGCAAGGTTGAGTTGTGCCTTGAACACCCTCTGCTGGAATGAGGGATTCCTTCATGCGCTCTTAATTTTATTAATGTATCTAATTATTGGCTTAATACAACACATTGTGATGAATAATAATTTAAACTCATCCTCTGTGTGTTTTCAGTTATTACGTTTGGCATTCTAGTTTAACAGATTAACACGTCAATTTTCAGGTGTTTGAATTTCTTTTTACGATTGTCAGACTAGAAGCAGCAAGTTTTCACTTTACTCTTCATGTTGGATTCAAACCGTTTTATGGTGCCACACTTTTCTTCTCAGATTGGTTTCCATTTCTTTAGCAAACAAACATGGCTGACACTGGTGTGTTTCTCCTGCACGAACCTGCTCTCTCTTTAATCAGCTCCCTCTGGTTTCAGTTCTGTGTAATTACGGCCCGACCCGTTAATCACCATGCATCCTGGACAGCAGGAGCACAGTGTTTCAAACAGAAGCGCGGCAGAGAGAGAGCGGAATCATAGGGCTGGGAATGCTGGGGAAATGTAATTGTATTGTCTCAGTGGCGACGTTTAATTATTGTCACTCTGTGCACACATTCACAGACACTGTGGACAAATTGGTTCACCCAGAATAAATAAAAGACACGAATGATGTCTGGTAGGTCTTGACTTCTTCAAAACGCTCAGTTGACACATTGTTGCCGTGGAACAATGTGTCAACTGAGCGTTTTGAAGAAGGATCAAAGGTTGGGTTTGCCGAGGTTCTTACATAACAGCCTTCTCCTTTACATTTCCTCCCGTCCTTATTTGCGTCACTGTCCCAGTTTTGTCCCCTCAGTAGTTCTCAGATGTCCTTAATATTACATTGTGTCTAAAAAACACATTCATTTTTACTCTTGGATGCATCATGAACCTCCGTGCCCTTACAGGACCGTCATGGGAGGCGGGTGTAATTCATAACAATATAAATTACATCCTGCGTCTCAGTCAAAACTGATATTGCAGGAAAAAACACATTTAGCTCATGAGACTAAAAAGACAGAATACCTAGAAACTTCAAAATGCACTATTTTGGCCAAAATTGAAAAAAAATGTTCCTGCTGGGAATGATTAAAAATAACAGTTTTTGAAACAAAGTTTTGGCTTATTGATATAGATGCATTAATGTTGCACCTTCAGGGAATTTTTCCACTTTTAACAAACAAAAGAAAAAAGAGAAAACACAAATTCAGGGCTGCAGATAAACACACTAGAAGATACTTTTATTCTCAGGTTTGAATGACTTAGGGAAGTACTTTAGTATCACTGTGTTGAGTTTTCATCTTTGAAAATAAAAAAATGTCCATTAGAAAGTTATGACAATGACTTCAGGCCACAACAAACACTTTTACTTTGTAGAAGATGCCCGATTCTCCCAGTCTTAGCGTGTGTACTGACCTAATACCTGGATCAATATGATCATCTGAACATGCAGTCCAGACCTTGTTAGCTGGAGGAAGGTCATGTACAGAACCGTGCTAATGCACAGAGGTGACGTCACGTGTTGACACGCTCAATCGTGAAGGTTCCTCCTCAGTTCTTCAGTCTGCCCTCATAACAAAGTGAAAACATGAAAACAAGTGCAGACACGGCTGTTGTTGTGACGCTCTCTCAGCTCTGAGAATTGAACACAACCCACATCCTGGAATGACTGATGCAGCTGCGAAAGGTTGGTTTTGTGTTTCGACTGCAACGTTGCCCATGACCACACGATTCTCCGTGACCTTCAGTTTTCACTAAGTAGCAGTTGGACGTCCTTTTCATTTAACAGAGACATGCAGAAGCCCTCCCCACCACCCCTCTCTAGTTGGCTTGGCTACAGATATTGAACAGACTTCATCAGGGCTGTCATGGCAGCTGATATATTAAAGTGCAGCACAGGTCGTGTTTTAATGCTGAAAGATTGTCTGATCTTTGGACGTTACCTCTGTCACCGTGCCAAATACACATCACGTAGTGTCGTTCTCACTACGTGTGTGAGGAGCAGAATTAAAAACAACTCAAGACCAAGGATGACGGATCGCAGTGTTTATATCATGACCAGTAGTTCCCAGATGGAAACAATTTTGGTAATATACAATCTTAAGTCATTTAAATGATTTATCTTTGTCTGTTGGACCACAATTATGAATTTGTATGACCTTTATAAGTCAGTCAATTAGGGATGTCCGATATTAACTTTTTGTCGATATTGTCCAAAAACTTCATTTCCGCCGAAGATTAATTAAATGAACTGCAATGCTGCCATCTAATGATTTTAATTTAATGTGCAGCTGTTTATCCCCAAAACTATTTTTAGGGCACACATCATTTGGCGAAACCCAGGGGTTGCGTCATCGGGTTTTTTATTATTGGAGAAATAATATCGAAGTCGATAATATCGGTTGCAGTATATAACAGCAGCCAAAAAAGGTTGGGAACCACTGCCTTAACCAGTCCAGATCTGATTTACCTTGACGAAGCTGTTGACCTGTCTTACATCTTCTTTGTGTTTTTGAGTGTTACATTTTTACATTTTTAACTGACTCTGCTGTTTTCCTGTTGATTTTTTTCAGTATGAATTCAAGGCGAAGAACATTAAAAAGAAGAAGGTCAGCATCGTGGTGTCTGTGGATGGAGTTAAGGTGATGCTGAGGAAGAAACAGAAGGTCAGATGCCAAATCAGTTCTTTCATCTTTCCTTTCATTGTAGCTTTTAGCTCTTTTATAATGGTCGGCTCAGCCTGAACATCTGTTTCTTACAGAGGAAAGAATGGACCTGGGATGAGAGTAAGATGCTGATCATGCAAGATCCTATATACAGGTCGGTCTCACCTCATGAAAATGATAATAAATTAGGTTTTTAGTTCAAAAAAGAGATTATTATAAAGATGTACTGACTGGATCATGTAACCACTTTAAGTCCAAGTGTGTGTTGTGTGTGTTTATTAATTATGAATGTATTCTATGAGGATCTCAGTTCTCAACTGAAGAGAGTGTGGTGTCTGTAACCACCTTTGCCTGGTTTATGAGTTGTGGGAGTTCATTATGTGGCCATTAGTAACAGATCTCAAATCTCGTCTCTGCCTGGTTCCCAGTGGGGTGAGTTATAGCAGCATAGCTGTGGATGATTTGCAGGATGGTTCAAAAGACCTGAAGCAAACTGGACTGGAGCATACGCTTGATAAGGAATTAGAATGGTTCATTTACACAACATCAGATGAATTTATTTAAAAAATTTTGTTGTATTTTTTTCAGAATTTTCTACGTGTCCCATGACTCCCAGGACCTGAAGATCTTCAGCTACATCGCCAGAGACGGCTCCAGTAACTCCTTCAGATGTAACGTGTTTAAATCAAAGAAGAAGGTAAAGTTCAACAAAACTCTTAACTGTGGATAAACTGTTAATACTGCAATACAAGTTGGGGTATTAACTTTTTATATCTTTAAATATTTTTGGATAAATGTTGTTATTTATAGCGACCCCTGGGGTCTCAAACCTGAATGACCTGTTGGCTACTGCTGCAGTCGACGCTTGAAAATCAAACTATTATTTGTGACACTATGAAATGTGACCTCTGCACTGAACCCATCACCGTCATGAGCAGTGAGCAGTTATTTTTATAAATAAATATTTTTTTATATATTTTATGTATTTTAGTGCAAACAGCTAATTTTTCTTTTCATTTTTAAATTAACAAGTAAAGCATTTTAATAGTAGGGATTTAAGACCTCTAAGCTACACTTATATAATTTATGTTTACTACATAATTTTTAGACATTCACTTCATTCGTTCCCACAGGTTGTCACTGACTCATTCTATTCCATATTGTTGCTCTGATCGTTAACCCATTTCAACCATTCGTTTCTTCTTTCGTCTTATGGTGTAATTTGAAATCTTTCCTCTCTGGTGTTATGATGTAATTTGAAATCTTTCCTCTCTGGTGGTGCGTTTAACACCTGGTGGCTTAGCTGTGCACTGCAGAAAATAAATCCACTGGAGGACAGGGGTTTTATGTGCACCTCAGCAGAAGCTGTTTGTTTTACCACCGCTGTTCTCTGCTGCAGCTCCACTGAGTCAGAGCAGTGAATTCAGGCAGGAATGTTATTGAACGTCCACGTGATCCTCTGCATATTTGACCAAAACACTTTGAAAAAAGACATTGTCATGGTGTTCAAGCAGGAAGTCTTTTTCCTCCTCCTGTCAGATGCAGGCCATGCGTATAGTGCGGACAGTGGGCCAGGCCTTCGAGGTGTGCCACAAAATCAGCCTGCAGTACGTAGAGCAGGAGGCAGAGGCTCAGGCCGACGGAGGCAGCGACGACACCACCGATGAGCCCAGCAGTAATGGTGAGGCCTGCACGGATGGTTTTACAGTCTGTCAGTTTATCATTCACTTATTATTACACAATACCAACACGTTTACCCAGTACCATAGTTACCTAATACCATATGCCAACATTACAAAATGAAAAAAAAGGACAATGGTCGTTGTTCTTGTTGAAGTCATGACATTAAAATCAACAGTGAGATTTTTGGCCACACGGGGCTCTACAATGAGCTGTTGGAGTACTCAAGGAGTTTCTGCTTCAAAATGAAAACAAAAAACTGATTAAGGGTGAGTGATAAAGGTCAAAGGTCAAATCAATATTTTCCTCTATTCATCCTTATAACATGGTAGCAAAAGAAACTCCATTTAACAGGGATTTTAATTTAAAGAAATGTATATGTTAATTACATTAAAATTAAATAAAATATATGCATATAATTATATATATATAAAGATATGTAAATATACAGTATATAGAGAGATAGAGATACCATATGTGTGTATATGCATGTTTATTTATATAAATACAAAAAATATTTTTTGGGCATACCACCTTCTTACAGACAGACATGTTTGATGTTTTGTTATCTTTCTTTGTCACCGCAGGTGGTCAACTGTCAGGACCAGAATGTGGAGAAAAAGAAGAGACAGACAAACACAGAGAACAAGGTTCTCCAGCTGCAACTTCACTGTGTGAAAAGGCAGTGGCCGACATCCTGCAGGGTCTGGCCGAACTGAACGTGGTCAAACCTGGACAGACCATCACAGTAAGACACACACATTATATTCAAATGTTGACCGTTAGATTACGTTATTAATCATTTCACAAAAATACAAATCAGCATTTTTGTTTATTTTACTTGAACTTTCCTGCTCCTCAAGAAGCTTTATTTATTCAAATATTTGTGTTGTTCACCTGTGGATAACTGTTCAGCAGTCTGTGTAGACTCTTTGTCACCACCGCAGCTGTCCAGTCAGAGCTGACCTGATTCTCCTGTCATACAGGTGTAGGGAGTTTCCAGAGCGGCTTAACTATCAACCACTGTAAACACAGTACAATCCCTTTACTGTAGCTACCATGTTACGACATCAGACTTAATCACACCGCTCCGTTCATGTGAAGGAGTGTTTTCTCTGTGGTGGTGGAAACAACAGGGTTGACGTTTTGAAATTTCTGCCTGTTTCTCTCTGTAGTGACAGGATATTGACTGTGTCGCATTGATTCACTGCTTTGGCTCAAGTTGTGTTGATGCCATTATCTGGACGTAATGCTGCCAAATCTCTCCGCTGGTGCTTTGTCATCTTCTGCAGTGCCTGACCAGATTGTGGACTGCAGCTCTCTGTGACGTCATCTGTAGTTTCAGGTCGGCAGCAGAAGCTGCAGATGTCACTGTGTCTCAGACGTGGGACGTTTTTCAATCCAGTCCGTCAGTGACTGGTGGAAATGTTGTTCGTACGTACAGGCTGCAGTTTGAGGCCTGACGTTGTGGTCTCTGTTTGATTTCAGCCAAGAAGAGCTGTTGTTGTACTGTGTAAGGTGGGGATAAGTAAAGAAAAAAATCAGGAAACAAAACCCCTTTGTTTGATGTTAGAAAAAAAACAACTAAAACCAAAGTCAATCAGTGAAATAACCGAACTGGAGCGCTGGCATCTTTCCTTCAAGGCAGTGGTTCCATTTCCTCCACGGAGATGATTAAAGTAGAGCAGAGAGATTGAAAAACGTTTCATGAATCAGAATGGATTCAGATAAACCAACCCTCAATGTATTTTACCAGGATGAAAGTGGATTCAAACCTAGGACCATCCCCTCTTTTTATGGACTCAAATTTTAGCATTTTTTTTATCCATAGCAAACATGTTCTTGGTCCAGTATATACCGATTAAGGTATTTGTATTTTTCTAAAGCACCAGTACACCAAACATGTTTTAAAAAGTTACTGTAGCAACTAAAGTAATGTACAAGAGTGACAAATACTGATATTTTTCCCAAGTTTTTCCCAAGTTTCTTTAAGCTATAAACATCTCATGGAAAATACAAATTTGTTTGTGGAACAGTGCTCCTACATGGAGGGGAGTTTACCTCAGTATACCTCATCCTAAAATACAGTTATTTTAAACAAAAAACAAATTTGGGTCGACTGACTGAAATCTTATGTGCAATGTGTCCCTCTAGTGGCCAAATAAAAGAAGCTGTTCTGACTGGAGTTATGAATGTGAGTCTGAATGGTTGTTGTGTGGCGATTGACGGGTGAAGTGTCCATGGGGAACCCCCCCCCACACACACACACCTGTAGACAGCTGGGATAGGCTTTAGCGCCCCCTATCTCTGACGAGTTGGACATTAGTGGACAAAACAGGAGGTTGACACTGAGGTGGTCAGTGTTGTGATCAGCGTGGTTATCAGCATGTTTTTATGTCATCCGTTGGGGGGCGCCACTGGACCAGTGTCCTGCTGCTTGGTTATTTGCCTTTGTTCTGCATCATTCTCCAACTGTTGTCACAAATGGATAAGGAAACCACGTGACTCTTATGAAGAGGGATAAAAACTGATGATGTTCTTTCACTCATCCATACGTTGTGTTTTGTCTTTCTCTGTTCGTCTGCCGTCAGGACTTGGAGCAGAGGTCGGTCTTCACCCCGACGTCCCAGGGCAGCTCTCCATCTCTGACCCCACTGGCCTCTCAGCACTACGTACAGCTTCTTCAGCAGCAGCTGCAGCAGCAGCAGCAGCACACACAGGTGGCAGTGGCTCAGGTGAGAGACTGCGGCAGGGTCAGAGGTCACACACCAGTCAGCACACTCCAAATATTTCCATGTCTACCGAAATTAACTAAACAAGTTGATGATTCATGATGAGCGCCACACACTTAATTCAGCAGCAGTTCAGACCTCACAGGAGCCTGCGGTCATTTCTGTTATTTAAAGAAGTCCACTAGAGGGCAGCAGCGATACAGTTATGTAAAGACACTGCCACTAAGGAAAGAAGCACGGCATGTGCTGTAAATACAGGTAACAAATCAATAACTGAAATGCAAGTAACAACATAACAAATCAATAACTGAAATGCAAGTAAATAGAAAACAGAACAGGTTGAAACGATGTCGAGGAATAAATAGATTTGCATCATGATTTATATGAAATAAATTACAGAAATGAACAAGACTAGGAACAATTCATTCATGTTCTGTCCTCAAATGTTAAATGCCATGAACTAGCTCCAGTGACATTGTTTTTGTTTTGTTTGTAAAAAAACAAATCTCTGCCGAGACTCACGTTCTCCCTTCTTCTCCCTGCTGCAGGTGCAGCTGCTGAAGGATCAGATGGCAGCAGAGTCCGCTGCCCGGATGGAAGCCGAAGCCCGGGTCCACCAGCTGCTGCTGCAGAACAGGGACCTGCTGCAGCACCTTGCCCTGCTGGTGCAGCAGCTCAAGGAGCTGGAGGCTCATTTCCAGAAATCCTCATCACCAGAGTGGCCTCAGCAGGAGCCTGAAGCGAATGGGAACGGTGGGTGACGGCAGGGTTGATGTAAGACTGTAGTCATCTTTCTGCAGTCCCTGTTTGAGACACTGTGGGAGAAAACAGTTTGGTTAAAGGTCTTTTTGACTTGATTTTTTCTGCAGATTGCCCTCCTTCTTCTAACTCAACACTGGCGAAGTCTTTGTCTCTGAATTTGAAGAACCACTACAGACAGACACTGGACCAGCTCATCATCTCAACACCCTCGTGGCCACGCCCAGCTGCCCCGCTCTCCTCCAATCAGGTGGACTGTGCTGAGTCCTACCTGAACCTCCTCAACCTGGAGAACAGCAACAACGCAGCGTCGACACTGAATGGAGATCCGTTCATCCGAGCGAATGGGATGGCGGACGGAGGAGGAAAGAGGAACTCCAGCGATGAGAGCGTCTCCTTCAGATCGAGGAGCTCCGTCAACATGGACGACAGGTAAGACTGTGGTTGTCAGCAACACTATTATTAACAACAAACAATACACACCTAAATAATAATATGAATTACTATTATATGATTTGAATATGATGGTAATAATAACACAGATCTATTCATATTATCACCATCTGTAACAGCAATAATAACAACAATTATTAACAATTGTTTTTAGTGTTTTATGAGTGATGTTGCACGTTAAAGGAGTAGTCCAACATTTTCACTTACTTCATGATACTTACTTCATTTGAACAAGGTCCAGCAAGTCATGCTTTTTCAGCAGCAATGAAGGGAAAAAAGTGAAATATACTATATATATATATATAGAGAGAGAGAGAGAGAGAGAGCACTTTATTAATTCCTCGGGAGTTCCCTTCGGGAAATTTAGGAAATATATGTATAAAATATATATATATATACATTATGCGTATGTGTATATATATTGAATTGCAGCCTGTGTCAGTGTCTTTGTGTACGTGCAGTAACGTCACCTCACCACACTGACTCAGTCACTCGCTCCAGCCTGTGGCCTTTGGTGCTGTTGGTGGAGAACAGCTGGTCTCAGCAGAAACAGCCTGCAGTTAATGAAAGTGTGACTGTAATCAGGGGATTAGTGAACACAGGGGTCCCACAAACAAAGAGAGGATCACGACTGAACCAAAGAAAGAACGAGATCAGGAAACACAAAAAAGAAAAGCTATTAAAACCTGCGGAAAAGGAAATGTTTATGGAAAAGGTTTTCCACGTATTATAAAATGGTAAACGCTGCCGCCGCTGCTTTTCTTCTGCTGCGAGCTGCCTTCTTTATTTTGTGAACTTAAGAAAATCCTTAATCCAGGTGGGTGGAACTGAAGATCGATGATTCAGCAGCGTCATCCTTCTGGCCCGCCCAGATCTGAATGCTATTTAAAGTTTTAAAAAAAGTTAGTTTGTTTTTTCATGTATGCTTAATTTGATCATCTCTAGTTACATATTCTCACCCATTTACTTCAAGGAGATTATGTTTTCATGGATTTTTGAATTAAGGGACAAGAGTAGTAACTTGTTGGGATTGGTTCAGAAAAGTGTTGTTGGAGTTGTGTTCAGGGACACCCCGGGTTGTTCAGTGTACCTTATAGTTGCCAACTTTTTCCTGGTGATTGACTCACTTCCCTCCATCTTCTTCTTGTCTTCGTCCTTCTCTATTGTGAACCGTTGAACTGGTTTCAATAACAACGTCCAGTTGCGTCAAAAAATCTCTTCTAATAGACAGGGAAGCTAACACAGATAACAGAAAGTCAGTTTTCTGAACATTTACACTACAACTGAGAAGAACCACCACTCAGATATACTCCAGTGATCGTCTTCATCCCTCCAAACCAAAGCGGATAAATGTTTAGCGCCATCTTTTGGTCTCTCAAAGGAAAGGAATAAAAAACACAGTATCTGTGAAAGTGGAAACTCGAGCTCCATCATGTAATTTTGTTTCCCTGCAGCCAAATTCTGCACTACTTTTGGCTCGGTGCTGCTTCACTGCACCTCCTCCTCCTCCTCCTCACTTTATTGCATCTGTTTTCTGGACTTCCCCAGTGGGTCGATAGTCACAGCTTGTGAGTGGTTGAATTTTATGTCCTGGGAACGAGCAGACAGAAACTCCTCTGTCATCCTCTCTCACCTTGTCTGCTCAGTGCTGCCAATGCAGAGCGAAGGAAATCACTTAGTAGTGCAGCCTAGCCTTATATCACACAGGCTTTACAGCATGACCGCAGCTGTGTGTGAGCGTGCCAGCTGGAGCCCAGTATAGGACGAGGTATGATATGTTGGCAGTGAAGGGAGTACTGATTTAAAACCTCAATATTACAAGCAGGAAAAAACAAAGTAGGTTGAGTCGTGTGAAGAACGAGTATTTGCAAACTTTGAGTTAAAAAAAAACAAAAACTTTTTCTTTTTCTTTTTTTTTTCAAAAGACATGAAAATTAAACCAGCTCTGAACTGCAGTAATGAACAGGAACCACTAACTAATCTAAAACTGGTGCCATCCAGTTTACTGTGAATGAACTGATATGCTGATGATGCACTGGTTAATCTAACACGTTGGTGTTCACACACTCAGCCAGATCTGATGAAATTGTCTTTTACTTGATGTCTTGGCTATTATGAAATCATCCGAACCAGTCAGTCAAAGCTCCAGGTCCTTGTATTGATTTTTAAGGACTCGTTGAAAATGACCTGCTCGTTTTTTTTCTTAGGAAAGGTTCAGATGGTTCATGAAAAAAATCAAATTTCTTTTTCCTGCTCATACCTGTACACGAGATCCTCGGTCCACGATGTCGACGATTATGATGTTACCACAGTGTTAGGTGTTGGGTGAGTGACATAGCTATTTACGTACAGTGTGTGAGTTCCGATTTATTTCACCGTAGGATCCGAACTCTGATGTAAGTCAAGGACCCTCTGTATTTCTATGTGCAAAACAAAATGGATGGAGTTGTTAAAATATAATTTCAGTTCAGATGAGCTTGGTCTCTGTGTGAACCCTGAACTCCACATGACCTTTACAGTACGCCCCTGCAGTAAAGTTAAATCATGGAAAAAACATTACTGAATCCAGGACTAGAGGAAATGTTTGAGACTAATGCAAATTAAGTTCAAGTCCAACAATCCATCGTTGTCATGATTTCAGCAGTCAGATACAAATACGACACAATGCCCACACAACAACAGCCTACATACAGTATGGGGGCAAGTCAGTATAAACACCCAGCCATGTATTATTCACTAGTGACTCATGTTTTCCACTGACACAGTGTCGCTTGTATGGAGTCCATTCTCTGCATAATCACATTTCCTGACCTAGCTCCTTATCTCCTCTTCCTCTCCTCAACCTTTTCTGATCATCAGCGACATCATCTGCATGTCTGCCTCATCAGCCACTAATGTCATTGTTATGATGTGATTGCGGGCTAATGGGTCATGTTAGCATTAATGTGTTCCGGTTTCTCTGGGATGTATTTTCACATATTACATGTTCAGAGGAAGACATTTTTTTACGGATGTCCGATATTACCTTTTTGTCAATATCCGAAATGCCGATATTGTCCAAACACTTAATTTCCGATTCCGATGTCAACCGTTACCGATATAGTGGGGCAGTGATGGCCTGGTGATTAAGGAAGTTTAATTGCCACTTACTAAAGTGACGGTTTAAAGCAGTGTTTCCCAATTATTTTTGGCCAACAAATGTCTTCAAAATCACAACTCCATTTTTGTTGCCTCGTATTCGTGTTCCTCTCATCGTTGGCTGCACCAGTCGTGGAAACGTCTCAGCTGCTTCTCAGCCTCATTTCCCACCATCTCTTCTTCTTCTTCTTCTTCTTCTCTGCCCGTTCTTCTCCTTCTGTGTGAGTATCACTCATGACAACCAGCATGTGGAACTATGCACGCGTCTGTGGCACAAACATGCTGCTGGGCATGTGTTGTGTGAACAGCTTGGGTAATGTGTCTCTCTCCTGTAGAAGTGGCCCACCAGTGATTTCTCTGCTAATGAGAAACGATCTGCATTTACACAGGGATATAATGAAATGTGCAAATTAAGCACATCGACGTTAAGGTGATCATGGAGTGATACACTGTCAAGTAATGAAGCCGAATTAATGAATTAATGAAGCCTAATTCATTTATGTTCACATTAGAAAAATCCCATGGTGGAACAATAAACAAAAATGTCACAAAAAGTATATGTAATGAAATAAAATGACCCGATGGTTTCAATATAAAACCAACTGATGTTTAGTTGAACACAACGTTGATATACTCGCAGGAATTGAAGAAAGATCTTTGTGAGTATTCAACAGTCCGATCCAAGTCCTGAGGACTTTTTTTTAGCTGCGTAGACAAATGATTTACATTCAATAATTAATAATTTTCACACCATTTAGGTGTAATTGGAACACAGTGTTCTGATGGACATTAGGAGGACAAAAATAATTTACAAACATATCGATGTAATCTGGCCTGGAAACCTTTAGGGGGCGTAGACTGGAAAAAGACTTGATCTTCACAATAGAAGGTGTGGCTACAACTATTGATTATTGTTAAAATAAATAAAATGGTGTGTAAGAGAATTTCCAAAAAAGGTCAAAGGAAACCTGTGCCAGTAACTGGAGTGCAGGTAGACTGATTGCCTCGTCACTTCAGGGAGAATAGAGCCTAAAGTGCAGCAATAAAAGGAGATGAGGATGTGCAGTGGGGGGACGGAGGGGGGGTCTGTGACAGTAAGGCTGAGTCAAAGTTATGCTAAAGAGTTTGGAAGAGAAGGGGGGGGGAGGGGTAAAAGAAAAACCTGTTCCCCTTGATCCTTATGTAAATTAGTCCCCACATCCTGGAAATTCTGACATGCTAAAAAAATCATCCCAAGCGTCAACAGCAGCATCAGAGCCAAGATGAACTGAAATAAGGTCAGTCTGTGTCCGTCAGCTGTTCTCACATCTGTGGAGGGTCACACAGACTGAGTCAGTCATAGTCATTCTGGTGCCGACCAAATACCATTTGTTGTAATTGTTTTTTTTTTTCTGAGGGCTTGAAGCTTCACCACAGGATATGATGATGCCACAGGTGACCACTAGGTGGCCTATGCCAAGCGCTGGCTCTGGATCAAATGCTAATGTGGTCATATTGGCATTGTTGTAATTACAAACCATGAGTGAGGTCAATTAAATATATATAGCACATGTGTCAAACATAAGGCTCGCGGGCCAAATACGCTCCCGCCAAGTCATTTTGTTTGGCCCACGGGAGCTGAAAAACCTTACAATAAAGTCCATGCTGCTGAGTTTCTGAACATGATTAATTAAGTGCTTTTTATTACACAGAGCAGTTTATACTATTACTGTAACTTGAATAAATAATAACCAGTCACAGAAACATTTAATAACACGTTATGGACTTTATTTACAACCAGTCCTCCAACGGGAACTGTACTGCTGATGTGGCCCCCAGTGAAAATGAGTTTGACACTAATATTTAATGGACCTGGTGCTGCTTTGTACTATAAAAATTGGGCCTCAAGGTCAAAAAGGTTAAGAGGAACCCGTGATCACAGTCCAGTTTCCGTCGTACTTTAATTTTGAATTTTGATTCACTTGTTGCCTCATAAATCCCATCTTTTAAAAAGTGTCTTAATAAAGAGAATAAAAATTCTTATTGACTTCTCAGATCAGTGATCGGTCATGTGTCAAGTGGCCTTCGTTTTCAACGTAGCCTAATTAGAGTCTCATTATCATATAAGAAATAAATTCTCAGCCGTGTGTCTCCGACCTCCCTGCTCTCTGCCACATCTGACAACAACTTTTTTCTAATCCAATCAAAAATGTGAAAGCGTCTATTTCAAGATCAAAGTCAGCGGCTAATCAACAGCAGTCATCGTCGTCCTCCAGGCAGCGTTTGGAAGTCATTCATTAAGTTGATAATAGTGCTGGACAAACTGGCACGGGTAATAAAAACTAATGATGCCGCGTGTTCCAGTAGCGGTAGGTGGAGACTGCGACTTTTGCCCTCCGCGTGTGCCGTTTGTGCCATCTGTTAGCTTAGGAAATGGGAGGTAATTACACCCGGAGATGGCAGCGATGCATCAACAGGTCTCGTCACCGCCGTCCTCACACAGAAGCAGAGAGAACAAACAAATGTATAAGTCAACCGCAGGTCGTGGCTGTTCGGTCAGCAGCCGTGTGTGTGTGTGTGTGTGTCCTCGACGGGAGGTGAGGTTTGTGAGTCACTCTGGTGTCAGGGCGTGTTGGCCACAAGAATGGTTGTGTGGTTGTGTCACTGTTGTTGGCCGTGGCATTAGTGTGCGGCGCTGCCACAGTCTCTGCTCTGTAGCTATTCCTGGTCTTGTCTTTTCTTTGTGCTGCTGTCCCTTCGCTGTTTTCAGCCCAGGAGCTGTGGGACGTAGATAAGTCTCTAGACAAGTGAAACAACAGGGAGCCACAGAGAAAGTGAGTCACTGTGTCGTCTGGGAACAGTTGGCTGATGCGCAGGTTAATGGGGTGTAATGTGGCTGATGCAGAGAAGAGTGGCTGCAGGCTTGGTTTCCTGTTCGTTGATGCAGAGACTGATACAGAGTCTGAAACGTTCATCTGCACATCACAGGAATTTAAAAAGGAGATTTGTGAGAATTCAAAATAAAAGATGACCAAAACAAAACATGTAGCTTTGTTGGTTCATATAAATCTAGTAATAAACATTTACCTTCAATATAAGAGCTTCACAGTGGTGGGAGAAATCATAGTTTTGTCAGTAGTTTGTGATTGTCTCCTGAATGATTATAAAGCAATTTGAAAAAATTAGATATTTTTTCAAAATAAAGGTTTGTAGTCTGTGATGTCAACAAAGGGTTTGGTTTAACCCAATGGACGATACGTATTTTCTTATCCGTACAAAACCACTGTAAGTGTTGCTGCCACCTAGTGACTGGAGGCTTGTTTATCGTCCAAGCACTACAGCAGCAGCACACTTCTGTCCAGCGTGCCATAGATTCCTTCTCTACGTGCGTCACCAGGTCATGTCCTGTAGTTTTCCTCACCCTTGTGAGTCTCAGCAGCGGCTGATGTGTGGGGCCGTACACCTCCATTATGGTTTTAAAAAACATTTTTTATACATGAACCACACATTTGAAAACAGGCTGAATGTTGCAGGATTTATTTTTCACTAAATCACTGCATAATCCACCTCTGTCTGACAACTGTCTTTTTTTTCCACAGGTGTAAAACCACAATCCCAAAAATTGACCCCCCTCCTCCCTCCCTGAACCGTAAGCGTGCCAGCAGGACCCTGTCCCCGGGGTGTGAAGTCACTGCCACTAATGAAGCGGCCCCCAGCCGCAGCAGCAGCCTCTCGTTCCCGGACGTCCCCCCCGGCTCACTGTCATCCACTGATTTCCACTCTCTCAGCAACGGCGAGAGCAGCTCCTGCTCCACAAGTGATGACTCGGGGGTCCGCTCGGACACCAAGTCCCTGATGTCGCCCATGTACGACGATGACGACCTCTTCGGGGACCGTGGGACATTTCCAACCGCCTCCAGCACGTGTGAGAGCCCCCTAGAGGAGGAGAATGAAGCATTTCGTTCTTCGTTGGACTCCTATCCTGCAGAATCCAGCACCGTCGCCCCGCCCTTCTCCTCTGCCGGGAACGACACCTGCCTACACATCAGTTTTTCTGAAGATGAGCTGCTGGAGAGCGCCCAGGACGACCCGCACGTCCCCCAGCGGAGTTAGGACGACAGCCTGACATTTCCCTGAAACGTTTCACTCTGTTCCCTAACCTGAGCTTTTTAATACAGGACGTACTGCCAGTCCCCTGTCCGCTGGGCTCCACTGCAAGACTTCAAGATTCCTCTGTCCACTTGTGACACAGTGCAGACGCAGCATTAATGAATATTAAAATAAATGTATAAATTAATTCAGCCCGTGGGGCAGACGTTGTATTTTTATACTGAACTGATAAAAAAAATTCTAATGTAGTGACTAGAATGTTCAAATGTAGCAATTCTTGCACCGTTAGTCCCACATGTACCATAGAGTAACCCAGGAACGCGTTTTATTTTTGTTAGCAGTCGTCATTTAATCGTTGTTTTTGTAAACAACATTGCTCTGGTAGTGGCGCTTTGGCCCAGAGGCAATGTCTCTGTCTTTGGTGTGGAACCCCAGGGTTCACCTCCTGGGCAAGTTCAAATCCCGGTTAGGGAGGTTGGTACCTTCAGTGGACTCACCACCTGCAGGAAGGTTTGGGGGGTTGGTACGGTGCAATGTGATTTGGGTGGCGACTGCTACGACCGGATAAGCGGATGAAAGTGGATGGATGGATGGATGGATGGTGGCATTGCTCTGGTGCAAAATGCTTCTTTTTTTTTTTTGCAGATGTCACTGTGAAATTTCCAATGACGATTACTGTATGTGAGTAACGGTCATGATGGGAAGAGCCTCGTCCTCTGAGAATCACCTGCAGACGATGTGTGGAAAGAAAAGAAAAAGGAAGTCATTAAAGGGAAAAGGAACTAAACTCATCCACTCTGGCTGTGGTGGAGTTCTGTGTTAGAGTGAGTGGGTTACTGCATGTTTGGAACTACACAACTTCATGTGGTTGAAAAACACAACTGCACTCTGTGTTGTGTTTTGACAATTTAAAAAAAAAACCCAAAAACAATTATTTCTGGGAAATGAAAAAGAGGAAAGCTTAGCTGCGGAAATCACATGGTGTCAAGAGAAACCTCTGTCTGACAGATGGACTTTTCATTATCTGCCTCTTTGGGAACGTTCTCAATGACAGGAAAAATGTGTTTGGTTTAAGGGGTTGTCGTGATGAAAACGATGACATCATTGATGTTCCTTTAAATAAACGTTTTGTGAGTGTGAGCTGTCGGTTCAGTTCTAGAGCGTTAATATGTAATGGGTATTTGAATTAATTTTATGGAGATGTGGAAGAAGCGGAGAGCGCTCTTGATTCTATTGCAAGAAGATCAGCAGTTTGCTGGTTCAATTCCCAGTCTTTGTTTGCTTGTGTTTTCATAGAGTTTTGAAGAATTTAGTTAATTTTTGATCTTCATAAATTATAGTTAATTACTGAGTGTAAATGGTGGCACCGCGAGGGACTTGGAAACTGTCCAGAGTCCAACCATGGAATTTAACATTGGGTTGAATTAATGAATGAATGAATTAATGGATGGATGAGGTCAGTCTGGCAGATATGCTGGTGTTTGTCCTCAGCTTCTACAATGACTGTTTGACCTGTGGCAGTGGGACTGATCACCAGCTGCTGGAGCTGGTGTATGAGGTGAGACGAGTGTGTGACACTGTAAAGGTGCAGATGTGAAAATTGGACAGAAACGAGGCTTTTCCCAACATGGCGAGAACAATAAAGAGAAGAGATTAAAAAAAAGAACTCTGTTTCCTTTTTGTTGCGTCAGATAATCACAGCATCAAAATAATCCGTCGTCGTTTAATCTTGTCTCAATTTTCTCTTCAGAAGTTCACACATAAATGGTCTGAAGCTTCTGTGGGAAGATCAAACTTCCAGACATCGTAGTATTTAAAAGACGTCGGGCAGAGGATGGAAATCAAAGCGGCGCTGGATTCAAAGCCACGGGCTGTTTGAGAAGACGCTGCTCTTTTCATGTGTGTTGGGTTTGAACAGGAGCAGGAACGACCTGTGAGTTCTCCGCCTCCGCGTTGATCATTCCTCCCTACCAGCACGTTTGACATTTACAATTACCGTCAGTCCAACTCTCTCCTGTCAGGCGTGACTCTTTATTTGTCAGTTCTTCTGCTCCCGTCATCTCCTTCCGAGGTGGGCTGTTTCTTCACCTGTCTCCACAGTGTTGACTGTCGCTGTGAGACATTAACAGGTGACTGACGGATTCCATGTGTTTGTGTGTTTATCTTCACTGAAGCAACGATGGTGAAAGGTGGAGATCTGAGGCCTTGGAGATGTTGTTCTATCTGTGCTGCTGTGGAACGATCATCGCAGAAACCAAAGAAAACCAAACAGGATTTGTTCCTGTAACAAGAGTTCCTCCGTCCAGATGGACCATTAGCGAGGGTTCTGTGTGGCTCAGGGCTCGCTGTATGTCTTTGTCTCCGGAGAGTCCGGCTTCTTCTGAGAAAGGTCTCTTGGGAACGGTCTGTGTTCGATACCAGACTGTAGCTGACAAACCTGGAACACGCTTCATTTCAGCTGGATGTACAGTTGACCTCTGGGCTGTACATAGATCCCTGAGTAGATGGACGGCGTTCTTTTAAGTGGCCATTAATGCTGCGGCGAAGTCGTTAGTCTTTGTACGGACATGAGCGAGTCTGGTGATCAGAACCTCGTGGGATTACAAAAACAAACAAGTTTACACCTTTAACAGATCCCAGTGGAGAAGATCAAACACTGTCTTTGACGTTCTCATAAATCTGTAATTCAAATAGACCCGTTAGCTACAGGCTAATTACTGCGACAAACCGCGCGGCTGCATAAATGTATGGTTAAATCACATTTTTACCCCCAGACAGTTACATTAGAAACACAAATAAAATGGTCTTGATAAATAATAAATCCAAATACTGTATTACTCTCTGTAGCCTGTTGGGGTCATATCTAGAATGTGGTCTGAAATTACTTTAGAATTTAATTACTTTTAAAATAAATTTAAAATAAAAATGTGTCTGTTCTTTTTGTCTTTTAAAACTGAAACCTCTTAGAATTTCTCAATATTTCTTAAACCAGAATGAGGTTTAAAATATGATCAGTAGGTGGCGTCAGATGTGTTTGTGTGAACTAATATATACACAATTCAACAAACATTTTATTCAAATTATTCAATTTAGTAAGAAGAACACTAGCATCCTTGTGTCGGAAATTTGGTTTCGCTCCGTATTCAGCCCACGGGCCACAGTTTGCCTGGTTTTTGTCCCAAAGTGAATTCAGCAATATACAGAAATGCTTAATATTTTTATTTCATTTATTTTTTTATTTATTTGTTGCAGTAGTTTAGATGTTACTTTTCCCAGTAGCCAAAATACTTGATCTGTACACGGTAAATTCTGTAAGTGAATATTTTCATCATTAACTGTATCACAGCATCTACACTCAGTCTGCTGGACATCAGAGAGGGCTGGAGCCTTATTTTTATTTTTTACTCCTACATCAACCGACCTGCTTTAGAAAAAATGGTTTATTTTCTTTCAAAGAAAAAATTTAAGTTGAGCGAAAACTAAAGCCACTGTCGGGACAAATGGTCTGTATGTATCAAATAATAAATGTGAGTCCAGAAAATCCCCACATGTAAACAGTGTCTTTGAAAGTGCAGGAATATGAAGAACTGTCACAATATTGGTTTGTTTTTTTTTGTTTTTTTACCTCTGACGACAAACGCCCTCTTACGTCTTCGGTGTGAAAAGTTGTTCTTGGATCGCCGACTTATAAGGAGTAGAATGTTGCGCTGACTTCCTCCTGGATGTAAAGTGAGACAGTAATAAAGTAGAGCAGCTGCATTTCTTACCGTCTGCTCCTCTGAGGGAGGAGCGTCTGGAATGAGGCCCTGGAGGAGGCGCAGTTACCCCCTTAGATCAGACCATTTCCTTTCCACATAACTGTGTTCCTCTGAGGTCGAATGGACGAGACGTAATACTCCGGTTATCCTCCGACTCCTTTATCATCCGCCAAAAAGGTCAGACACAGTCTGAAATCTGAAATCCAAACAGCTCCGGTTGGAACCAGGTTCTAAATATATCACATAGTGAGATCGGAAAGTAAAGTTTAATTTACTTTTTAATAAACCTTCCTTTGAAGTTGGAGGTTGTCTGAGGAAGGAAAGCCTGCTTTAATACGTCGGGCTGGTTGATCTCTGTGGACCACCTCACCACAGAGCTGCCGCTCGCCCACTTAACTGCTTGACTTTGAGTCTAATTGGGCGGGAACACGGGGTGGGCTGAAGCCTGGGACGTGACATACACTGTTGGATCCACGGTAAATTTGATATTGTCTGCAAAACTAATTAGACTTTAAATGGAGGGAAAACATATTGTGGTGGTTAAGGACGTGGACTTGGGTCCGGAAGGTTTCAGGTTCGAGTCCACCAGCTGCCAAGTTACCACCGAGGTGGTAAAAGCAGAGGTCACATTTGGTTGTGTGCAGTGGTGTGCTGTGTCACAATGACAAGGAGTTCACTATTTGTTCAACACTAATGCTAATACCATTAGGAAATTGATACCGGTAACAACTGATTCTTGAGTAGAACACCGTAAAGTCTCAGATGAAAAATATTTTGGTTTGGAGAATTGTGCAAACCTGAAAATGTGTCAATTTCAAAGGTGACACTCACTCACAAGAAAGTGACTGATTTTAGCTTAGCCGTTAGCAGATAACCAATCAGAAGTTTGTGTGTGTGTTGTGTGTTTTATGTGACACATAATGGAATTTCAAGACATTCTGAAAGTCTAGCACATCCTTTTATACCCGCACACATGGATTTTGAAAGACGTGACAGCATTAGCATTAGCATTAGCAGGGACACAAATCTGCTCCGGAAAAAAAGATCAGCCTGAAAACTAAAGTTCTGATAAATCACTGCTGAACATATGAACATTTTTTTATGTATTAAAATATTCAGTGTCCTTGAGTATTTTTCCACAAGTGTGTTTGTGTGTGTGTGTGTGTGTGCGTGCATGTGTGTGTGTTTAAAAGCCTTGAACTGCCTGAGGAGATTTAACGTCTGTGCCATTAGAAGGAGCCTGGACTGTACAGCTCTGTGGTCCAGAGGAGATTGTTTCGACTCTGATTATTTTTCGCCCGTGTTTTCACGCCCTTTTCACCTTCACCAGGACACAGACTGATGATTAGAGATGGAAACTTCAGGACTTAATCAGCTCTCTCTCACTTTAAAGCAGGAGAAAATCACCCGTCTCCAAAAACCCCAGTCAAGACGTTATATAAAAAGCTACAAATGTAACACTTTAAACAGAGGTCTTCAAGGTTTTCCAGAGCAAATGTTTATAAAAGCCTCCAGTACTTTTGGAACACCTTTGGAGTGTATTTGATTTACCTTTGAGCCAAACAATCACTAACAGCAAATCCATAAAAACAATTACAACAGTTCACAATTATTTCACAAATATAGAGAATATATGTCAGATGAAGAAATGTATTATATTTAGAGCCATTCCTTCAAAAAAAAAAAAACTAATCTAAATTCGATGGCATGATATTTCCTTGGAGAATTAAGTTTGTTTTTGAACACGTCTTAAAGTCTGAGCACAAAAGTTTCATATTCATAATTTCTCACCCACGCAGCAAAAAAATGTCCCTCCTAAACCCTAGCCCTTGTTGTCGAGCCAAGTTTGTCGGCAAGTACTCAGCTAATGACGACTACTGCTACCTTTCCAGAAGACTCTGTGTCCAATTAGGAATACAGACACGTTACACGTCAGCATTTATTGCATCGTCTCAGGTCTAATTAGTGGGAACAATATCCCTTCATCTGGTGGTTCATCGTCTGTGGGTCTGTGGGGTTTTTTTTCCATTCTTAGATGACCAGCTACAACATTTTATTGAACAAACAAATAAAACAAATGATTAATATTAAAATGATTATTATCAGTCAGTATTATTATTGTGAAAATGATTAAAAAAAACAACAACTTATCTTTATTTGTCATTGTGACACAGCACAGCTCAGCACACCATGCACAACGAAATTTAACCTCTGCATTTAACCCATCACCAAAGTGAACAGTGGGCAGTTGGTGGATTCGAACCTGGGGCCTTCCGGACCGAAGTCCGCTTCCTTTACCACTAGGCCACCACTGCCAGGATTATTATCAGTCAGTATTATTATTGTTATTCTATTATTTAAAAAAAAGTTTTAATATTGGTTTTATTTTCTTCAAGGATTTTAAGGACTAGGAAGTGCTAGTTGACCAGCTAAAATCACATTAGCGTGTTAGCTTGCTAACACTGAGCTAGCCTGCAGCAGGAACAGTGATGTGTTTTTATAACAGGGCTGTGTAAACGTGTTGACTTTGTATAGTGACTCAGTAATAAATGGTCTCCATCCACTGACCTGAACGAACCCTTGACTCACACTCGGCATTTTCACTTCCTCTTCACACTAACATAACAACGGATTCTCACAGAGCCACTAACTGAACCTGTGAACCTGTGAACCTGTGAACGACACGTGCGTTGACCAGCGTCAGCTGACAACCTGCAGATTTTTATTGTGTTTTCCATCTCCTTCGTCGATCCACTGACCAAACTAAAACTGACCAAACTAAAGATCCACCAGGAGCCGTAACATGTTGCCACACCCATAATGATTTAACATTACATTTGTAAACTGTTCAGGGATAATATACAGTAAAACCATAAAATTAAATAAATTGTAGTGACCATTACCTTCTTTACATCGGGTTGCCCAACTCATTTTGGTTCATAAAACCCTAATTATATGTCACGTGGACCGGACCAGTACAGAAATAATGATTACCTACAAATAACAATCCAAAGTTCACCAACTTCCTGTTTCTTGTGAAGTTCAGTTGGATTTTGACATTTCCTTCGTAGGGTTTTCTCTACATTAATGTCACAGAGACGACCCCACCCTGCCTGTGTGAGTCATCTGATTGGCTCAGATGGTCTTCTCTAAGGATAAACATATTATTCTGATGTGATGAAAAAGAACAGTATTGACTGTAGAAGTCTTGTCATTTCATTTCCGATCCAGGGCTGTTGACAGCAGGAACATGGTTAGCTGGGACACGGGGCTCCTGAACACTTGGCTTCTGTCAGTCAGTATCAGGTTAACCAGGTGCGTCCTCCAGATCGGATCCTTTTCACACTCAGTTGAATTCCTGACGTTCCCCTAAAGAGATTGGCTTTGGCAGCAGCAGGAGAGGCTTCATCCTGGGTGGAGGTTCACGACGAGGAGAGACGCACCTGGTCCTGGATGTCTGGTCGTTCTGTCCACTTCTGGACTTTCTTTTCACTTTTTTTGTTTTAATTTCATTTATTTAAAAAAAAAGACAAATGAAAAGACAAGAGGCTGAACCTCAGTTTATAAACTTTCTGAGATTTTTTTCTTCGGATCAATCGGGGCAGGCAGGATAGAAACAACCAGACCAGAGGAGAGTGGAGGTGGAAAAGATTTGAGCTCTGATGACGGTAGATATTTAGGACAAAGGAAGTCGGAAATGAAGATTCCAGAAGGTTAAGGAACAGGCTGAGGTGAAGACCATGAATACAAATGTCACACCAGGAAAGAGCGATTCGTACGATTGCCTTACCAAAAAAAAGGTCACTCGTTCGATTCCTCATTTTAAATTACTCTAAATGTTGACTGATAATTGACCATAAGTAAAAAAAACAATCATAATAATCTGAACAGATATATGTAATATATATTTTTATTTATATAGTTTTTATATTTTATATTTTTTTATATGGGGACGTGTTTTCCTGTATATATTCAAAATAATAACATTCAAATAACATATGAAATAAAAAAAGTTAAAGTTAGTTTTTTTTTCTTTTCTATCATCACATACATACTTACATTTGTTGCATTTTCACACAAACCTCAATTTCCAAAAAAAAAAAAAAAAAAAAAAGTTAAAGTTAATTTAAAGACAACATCACGACTGTACAAAACCACTGTGTCTCTCCGGTCACAGCGTTTATAAAATGTCTCTCTCTCCACTCACGGAGACCAATCAGATTATCTACACTGTGGTGACAAATTGATTGAAAGGACGCTGGAGGAGCCTGTCCACCGAGGGGACGTGGTGACAAATTGATTGAAAGGATGCTGGAGGAGCCTGTCCACCGAGGGGACGCAGCGGGGAAGCATCCTGTCCCATCTCCAGGACTCTGTCTTATACTCATCTCAAAAGGAAGTGTGTGTGTGTGTATGTACCCTAACACACACACACACGCACAAAAGTCATAAATGCAGACACACACCTGAGCCTGGCAGCTCTGATTTATCCAGCTCATGTTTATTGGATTGATTTATGTCTTTTAATTCTCGCTTGTTCTGCTTTTTATAGACGGCCCGGGCTTTCAGAGCCAAGTGACATTGTCACGTTGCTAGGCACCATCCCCCACAATTCAATTCTTCACTTCACTCTCACCAACAGGCAGCTGATGGTTCTACTGTTGTGGTACACAATGAAAACAGAGCTTCATCCCAGAGCTGTGTATCTCCACCTGATCAGGGATTTACCTCCATGAGTCAAATCCCAGTATCACCTCCATCCTGTTGCCATTTTCCGGACAATTTGTTTTTATGATCATGTCCTCGCTCGGTCTTTGTGATACTTTTTACTTCGCTAAATTCATATTTGTTTTTATTTTTTTTTTCCCGACTTTACCCTGTAGTTTCCCAAACTTCAGTTCTTCTCATTGGCACTGCAGTCTTAGCAGCAGTTTACTGACAGTCTGACTGTGAGCTGTGAAGGTGTTAGACCAGGCGTGGGTAAAAAACTTTTTGACTCGTGGGTCACAATTGTCTTTGAAATTGAACAGGGAGGCCGGTTCAGGAGCAGATAGATGGAGCGTTCGCGTGAACTAACTAATAAATGACACGTAAAAGTCAGGTATAAATGCTAAAATGTTAAAATGCTTTTATCATTTTCTACGCCATCTATTGGGGAAACATTGGGGTATTGCAGGGAAAAGGCAGAAGTATAATCTTCTACCTCAGTCTGTCTTAGTGAACCACTGCACACAAGGAAACCTGTGACCTCTGCTTTTGTTAATATAAATCAACTTTATCATTTGGAAATGTTTGGCGGGCCGGATTACGAAGCTCAAGGGGCCGCATCCGGGCCGCGGG